AGCTTGAACAAATGGTTGCATCGTTACATGGTTACACTCTGCAGTTTGTGAGAACACCACCAAAAATCAACGGAATGTTAGAAACCCATCTAACATCTCCAGAACAGGGCATAATCCTCCAATCAGTGCTGATGGAGCTTCTGGAAAAATACTTGATTTCCAGAGTTCCCCCAGGAGAGGAGGAAGCCAGTTTTTACTCCCGGTACTTCCTGGTTCCGACGAAGTCGGGAGCCCTCAGACCAATTCTGGGCCTGTCTGCCTTCAACAAATTTAGTATGGAACGACCCTTTCACATGCTGACGGTGAAACATGTTTTCGAATACGTGACACAAGGGGATTGGTTTGTGTCCATAGATCTGAAAGATGCATACTTCCACATTCCGATAATAAATAAACACAGGAAATTCCTCAGTTTTTCCTTCCGGGTGGCCTGTTTTCAGTACAACCGTCTGCCATTTGGATACGCGCTCGCCCCATGCACGTTCTCAAAATGTGTGGAGGCAGCCCTCTAGCCGCTTCGAATGAGAGGGAAAAAAAATCCTGTTTTATCTGGATGACCTCCTGCTGTTATCTCGGTCCAGAAAAGAGGCAGAGACACAAACAGTTGTTTTAGTGAATCATCTGTCGCATCTGGGATTCACAATAAATTGGGAGAAGAGCTCTATAATTCCATCTCTGCGAATTACATTCCTCAATAAACTGGGAGAAGAGCTCTATAATTCCGTCTCAGCGAATTACATTCCTGGGAGTGAATCTAAACTCAGTGAACATGACAGCTGTCCTGTCAGAACAAAGGAGGGAATCCCTGAGGTCATTGCTTCAGATTGTCCGGCCCCTCAGAACAGTAACAGCGCTGACAGTCATGAGACTACTAGGAATGATGTCAGCGGCTCATGTTTTGGTGCCGATGGAGTTATTGTTTATGCGCCGCCTGCAATGATGGTTCAATCGATTGAAAGTTGACCCTGTACATCACAAACGGTGCCTGATCACCATTCCTCCATCTGTGGGAGCGGAGCTGAGCCACTGGGGGAATTCCCTGAACCTGTCAGAGGGAGTTCCCCTGGGCAAAGTGACGTCATTCATGTCGGTGTTCATAGACGCGTCCCTCTCCAGCTGGGGAGGGAGCTGCCTGTCACAAACGATAGGAGTTGCATAGCCGGCCGGCATGTCTTGTCACATGAATGTTTTAGAACTTCTCACAATAAAAACAAGTACTCAGACATTTTGTCCCACTGATTCAGGGTCATCACATGATGATCCTCACAGACAACAGAACCGCAGCGGCATACATAAATCACTAAGGGGCGTGTTTTCAGCTCAGCTGCTAAATGCAGCCAGGAAACTGCTCTGCTGGGCGCGCACACACTTACGTTCGATCAGAGCAGTTTACATCCCAGGTGTTCTAATCAGAAGAGCAGATATTATGTTGAGAGGAGGCCCTCTGGACAGGGATTGGTCTCTTCATCCAGATCTAATCTCGCGAATCTGGAACAGGTTCGGGAGAGCAGAAGTGGACCTGGTGGCCACCCGGGAGAACTCTCAATGTGCCCTGTTCTTCTCCCTAAATCCACGGGATGCTCCGCCACAGAGAGTGAACGCGTTTGCACACAAACTGTGGCCAAATATGCTGATTTATGCCTTCCCTCCAGTTCCCCTGATATCAGCACTGTTGGAGAGGGTGAGAGAGGATAATCTGAAAATTATTCTGATCGCCCCAGAGCGCATGAACGCCTCATGGTTCCCGGTTCTGCAACAGATGACGGGTCAACCGTGGAAGTTGCCATGGAGAGAGGATGCACTCCTGCAGGCAGGAGGAGCAATCAGGAGCCCCCCTATTGTGTCTGGCCGCTGAACGAGAACGCTTAGAAAAATTTGGGTTTTCCAAAGATGTAATATGTACCATCCAGGGGGCACGCACAAAATCCACTATGGCTGTTTACGCTTCTAAATGGGCTGCTTTTCAGCGATGGTGCCTAGAAAAGGAGGTGGACCTGACTTCATGTCCCCTGGGCTGCATTTTATCCTACCTGCAGCTGCTATTGGACAGAAATTTAGCTTTCTGCACAATTAAAACTTATGCTGCAACACTCTCCTCCTGTCATCAAGGTTTCAACAATAGAACAGTTTTCAATCACCCTTTAACAAAACGTGTTCTGAAAGGTGCGCGCCGGCTCAGGCCAGTAACGCACACCCTGGTACAACAGTGGGATTTAGTCTTCGTTCTCATTGCACTAACTAAAAATCTGTTTGAGCCCCTGGACCAGATACTTTTGAAGTATCTGTCGCTCAAAACAGCCTTGTTATTAGCTCTGACATCAGCTAAAAGAGTGAGCGACTTGTCAGGTCTGTCCGTCGCTCCTTCTTGTCTCAGAATTCAAGGAGACGGAAGTTCAGCAGAACTCCGACCAAATCCTGCTTTTATACTCAAAAGCATAACAAGTTTGTTCAGGTCCAGAGTCATTACGCTGGACGGGTTCTGTCCCCCTTCCCATAAAACTACAACGGAGGAACAATTTCACCTGCTCTGTCCAGTACACACGCTCAGGTGTTATGTGACACGCACAGCCGCGATGTGTAAATCTGATCAATTGTTTGTGCATTTCAGGGAACGATCACAGGGTCAGCCTTTATCTTCCCAGCATCTGTCACATTGGTTATGTGAAACTATATCACAAGCCTATAGTTCTTCTGGCCTTCAACCACCTGAAGGACTCAGGGCTCATTCCACCAGAGGGATTTCTACCTCCACAGCTCTGCACAGAGGGGTGTCTGTGCAGAACATCTGCTCTGCAGCTTCATGGTCATCACCGACCCCTTTCATCCGTTTTATTTACTAGATGTCTTCAGCTCTTCAATGACACATTCGGTTCTCAGAGTTATGTCAGAGTGATTTTTCACAATCACACAACAAAATAAAATAAATAAAAACAACAACAATAAAACAACACAGCCTTGCTCTGTCATTATTAGTGGACGTTTTCTACGATTACTCGTTCAAACAGGAAAATTAATTCTTCCTCATTGTAAAATTTTCCTTCTCTTATTCCTCTGTTGTCTGATATGAATAAACATTCCTTCAGCTAAGATCAGGCACAGAGGCTGCACGCTTGTAATTCAATACGCACCAGGTACATGGATCAATGGTGCGTAATTACGCTTGAATAAAGAATGAATATCCTGATGAAGTTTAGGCGGATATCAGGGTGTTTTTTTATGGTTCTCGGATAGACCCAGTGAGGCAAGGACCATATCCTGCGCCGCCCTTTAAGCCCAATAGCGACAGCTTTTAAAAGGCATAGCTTACACGAAATAGAACGTTGGTTACGTATTGTAACCCCAGATCGACCAATGCAGACATGTTCCTGTTTTTAGTTTTCTACATTCGCCTTGGAATCTAGCTGCTTTTTTTTTTGTTTGTTTTTTGTTTTGTTACCTTTTCCTTTTAACCATCCTATTTGTAAAAAAAAAAATAAAAACCTGTAGTATGACTTTTTATAATTGTTTATTGTTGTTGCTGTTGTCCATTGTTGTCATCTTTCTTTGTTGAAATCAGGTCTCTCTTGTAAATGAGTCCTCGAGGCTCAATGGGATTTACCTGTCTAAATAAAGGTTGATTGATTCTATGAGTGTAAGCCTAGCCCTTTAAAAATTGGGCCTCACTGACTCTCAAATGGCTGACGTAAAAGAGTATGACTTTGGGAGTCGATCTCCGGTCCAGATGCAATTTATAACGTTATAACGGACCGGGTGGGGCCCACACAGCAGGTGGGCGTGGACTAGGAGTTTTCAGTGTTCAATGTGCTGCGTGCAGGTAAACCCAATAGCGACTGCTTTTCGAAGGCTACATTTACACTCATAGAGTCTGGGGTTACAATACGTAACCAGCGTTTGTCTTTCATGCAGGACTTCAACTAATAATTTTCCTTTTTTCCTCACACTTTTTCACAAAGATATCCTCACTGCTCGATCACATCATTGCAGAATTGATCATGTTTGAATGACTGAAAACACCTAAAGAAACTCCTCTTTGTATTCATATTGTAGAACTATTGTGTGAAAGGGGATAGTCCATTGTCCTGATAAGATGATGGTCAGCCGACACAGTTCTGATAAGCCTCCACAGAAGGTGTGGGGGGTGGTTGTGATAGACAAAGCTCTTCCTTAGTTTACACATTTCCCAAGACAAATTGATAAGCCGGCCTATTTCGAGGCCAACCAGGGAGTCCGATTCAGATAATCCACAATTGTTGATTTATTCAGGCAGACTATTTTTCTTATCTGCCTTGAGTCTTACTGATACTTTCAAGATCCAAAATGGCCAGATTAGCGTGCATTGTACTTGTCTATGCTTACAAGCCTCTTCAAGGTCGTTTCATGCTGTCGAGTCCCAAAGCCGCGGGTGGCCTTTGATTCAAATCACTTCCATCTTATGGTTTAGCTTGTAAATCAGTTGATTTTAAGTCCTCAAAGCACGAACCAAACCTTCACATAAACAGCAGCCTGACAAGGGCCAAATTAGCTGCAGCCGTCTTTTTTGTGTCTTAATAAACCAGGAACCAGACAATTCCAAAAACAGGAAACCTGTTACCATAAATCCAATTATATGCAGTTTCGGCGTCCTCGATTGACAGCAGAGGTAGACACATCACATTCCACTTCCCCAGAGATATATCTAGCCGCCTGCGTGTTGTCTGAGCAGATATGAGAGTTCTCCAGGACCCTGTTGCTTTGTTGAAAAGATTTGTCATTTGCGTCGAAAGTCCACTTGGTCAGATCCAAACCAGTAGTTTTCATTTGGGAAGATGTGTAAACATAGGAGCTCCGATGCACAGACAGAGAACAAAAAAGCAGGAGGAGAACAGGGAGAGGGAAGAAAAAGCGTGCACCTTGTTCCAGGGCCAGTGAAGAAAAAAAAAAATAGTTGTGAACAAAATAAAAACCCATATTCTGGTTGAGTTGTTGCTTTATTGTTTTTTGATTTGTCTCTTGTCTTGCAGTGTTACGTCTTCTGAGAAGGTGGACAAGGCCCAACGCTATGCAGATTTTACCTTGCTCTCTGTGCCTTACCCAGGTAAAAGGTGTATTTTTTTGGTCATGGGGGGAGCATGTTGGTGTTGCGCGCTATATCAGTGCCGGTAGTTATCAATCGGTTGGGGGGGATGTGTGAAAGAAGCGGAGCACTACGTATGTAACTTTAACTTTTTGGCTAGAGCGTCTGTATTGCATGCTGCTAGCTTAGTGTTACGTCAGTGCCAGAAGTTGTCAACAGGTGGGGGGATAGTTGTAATAGTTGGGTGAAGGACATTTCTGCGCTCATTTCTGTTGATTGGGTGGGGCGTCCTCCTTGGATAATGGTAGGGAAAACATTATATAGAGCAGGCTTACTGATAATGACTGTCATTTAAAGAGTACCATATGCTTTATATAAAGTCACAAGTTTTGAACTGAATCAGAAAACTGCTGAGCCAGCTGATGTTGTGCCACACTTGGTTTGTGTCTGTTTTAACTGCAGACAATCTGCATATACTGTATACATCCAAACTTTACACTTTTTCCAATGTCCTATGTAGATTCACCAAGAGAAGTCACACACCCCCTTACATGTTTTGGACAAAACAACTTTGCTATCCTTTATATTCCTTAACCTGCCCAAACACTTTCAATACAAATATTAGGTTTTCCTGTCTGTTCTTCTTCCCCAGATCTTCTCAGTTTTAAATCTTTTCTCATTGAAAAATACCTGTAATCAAACTATTTACATTGTGTAGTACTGTAAGGGTACTCCCAAACCCCCAATATTAGTCAACAAAATCTGATCTCAGTGGTGATTTAAGATCCAGCCAATTTTTCTAGTAATTCTTAAGTTTACCAGATTCTAATCTAATGGAAATTGTCAGTCTCTCAATCATATAAATATTATGCATTACGTGAACCCAATCTTCCCTTTTAAGGGGCCTCTGCCTTCAGGCATTTCCTAGTAATAGCTTTTTTGCTAGCCACCAACATGATCGCATAAATATATTTATCTGCTGATCTTGTTAACCTTCCCATCCCTTTACCCATGTATAAAACATCAAAATTGAAAGGAATACTCATCCTCAAAACTTTATCCATACAATTCTTTAAATCCTGCAAATAGGGTATGATACATGAGCAATCCCAAAACATATGGAAGTAATTAGCTCTATCTTCTCCACATTTCCTCCAACATCTTGTATCTTGGTATTTTCTTCGTGCTGGTGCTATGAAATATCTTACGATATTCTTCCAGCCAAACTCTCTCCATGAGAGGGAACAAGATGTTTTCCATTGTTGCCCACCATACTTTCCGCCATAAATGTCGCATCGCCGTTCAAGTCGCATCAGTCGCATCAGTCCAATTATGTTCAAGAAAGTGGAAAAATCCATAAATATGTTGCTTCGCTGCATAAGTCGCATCTATAATGCTTCATCGTTGACACGTCACGTACGTTACGCATCACCGCTGACAACCCTGAAATATGGGCCGGTGTTGTGCCTAAAATGGATTGGCTGCCAAATGGCGGTCGCAGGAGCGTGCACGGGAGGACTTTACCAAAATTAACACTTAAAAACAATTATTTGTTTGATCGACGTTATAGCAAAGGTGGTCTCAGTTAAACTTTTCCTTAGTAAATGCACCTAATGATCAAATAAGCTGAATTTCAAAAAATTGTTTTGCTGCCTTGGTGCTGCGAAGCGGGCACGCAAAGCCAGACGAGCCGCTGCATTTCTTTAAAATTTAACAAGAAATCCACCTGAAAAAATATTTGTTTGCTTGACATTATAGTAAAGGTGTGTCTCAGTTGAACTTTTCCTTAATAAATGCATTTTAATGGTCAAATCAGCTCATTTTCAAAAAAAAAATGTTTCACTTCACCCAGCTTCACCCAGTGTCACCTGCTGCTGATTTGCTGCGAAGCAGGCAAGCGCAGCTATACGAGCCTCTGCATTTCTTAAAAATTTAACAAGATAACCACCTGAAAACATTTATTTGTTTCCTCGAAATTATAGTAAAGGTATGTCTCAGTTGAACTTTTGCTTAATAAATGCACTTTGACGGTCAAAACATGGCAAAATGAAGCCGACGAAATAAAGCGGCTTTAAAATTACTACACTCTCACCCGCTCATAATGATGACAGAAACACCTTTTTTTTTTTTTTATTCAAACCCATTGAATTCTTCATCCTCTGTGTTGCTGGCGAAGAGTTCTGCCAACTCATGAGGTAGGTGATGTAGCGCTTCCTCCTCTTCCTCTATCGGAGTCCTCCTCCGCGTCAGCTCTAGCTGCAGCTCCAGCCCTAGATAACATCCCAGCCTTTCTAAAACCTGACTGGATCGTTTTTTTGGTGACTGAGGTCCATGCTTTATCGATCCAGCCGAGGACCTGCTGGAACGTCGCGTGGCGCATCCGTCGCGTGGCGCATCCGTCGCGTGGCGCATCCGTCGCGTAGCGCATCCGTCGCGTGGCGCATCCGTCGCGTGGCGCATCCGTCGCATGGCGCATCCGTCGCATGGCGCATCCGTCCTGTAGCCGTGAAGCTGTGCTCTCTTCGGCACGATTTTACGCTTAAAAATCACCTGTCGTAATGTTGGTTGGTGAAAGTAAACCCAGGGGTGCAGGCAGACAATCCAAGACTCAGGAGATGAAAAAAATGGTGACGGGGCAGCAAACTTACATAATCTGTAGGAAACGCAGAGGACCAGGGTGACAGAAAGCAATGCCAGGACGAAGGACTAACACAGAGACACAGACTTGTATACAGTGACAAACGAGACAAAACACCTGTGAGGACACACAGCTGAACCACATCAGGGAAAATGACAAACCAGGAAACCAGGGAGTGCAGGAACAGACACACAACACTAAATGGAAGCATACACTAGGAAAACGCAAACCCTATAGAAAACAGAAACTGAGAAGAAGGACATAAGACAAAAAACATAACAATATGGGGCTAAACCCATGAAACAGACCAATCCCTACAGTACCTCCCTCTTAATGGACGTCTCCAGACGTCCTCCAGAAACCCACTCCCCAAAAACTTGGGTGGGAGAAGGGGGGAAACAGGACGGAGGGCACAAGGGAACAAAAGAGGGGGACTAGGTACACACAAAAGAAAACACAAAAAGTCCAGGCGGGCGGCTGGAAGACCGTCCATCTTGCTGGAGCAGTTCAAGCCAAGGGCCAAGGTGAGGCAAATGGCCCAGGCGAGGCATGGGGCCAAGGCGAGGCGCCTGGATGAGGCGATGTGAAGGACCAAGGCGAGGTGTGGGGCCAAGGCGAGGCGTGGGGCCAAGGTGAGGTGCCTGGATGAGGCGAGACGAGGGGCCAAGGCGATGCGAAGGGCCAATGCGAGGCGAGGGGCCAAGGCGATGCGAAGGGCCAAGGCGAGGAGCCTGAACGAGGCGATGCAAAGGGCCAAGGCGAGGAGCCTGGACGAGGCGATGCAAAGGGCCAAGGCGATGTGCCTGGACGAGGCAGTATGAAGGGCCAAGGCAATGTGCCTGGACGAGGCGATGCGAAGGGCCAAGGCGATGTGCCTGGACGAGGCGATACGAAGGGCCAAGGCGATGTGCCTGGACGAGGTGATGCAAAGGACCAAGGCAATGCGCCTGGACAAGACAATGAACCGAGGCGAGGTGAAGAGACCACTCGTGCCGCAGGAGATGAAGAGACCACAGGCTCCACAGGAGATGTAGAGACCACTGGGACCTCAGGAGACGTAGAGACCACTGGGACCTCAGGAGACGTAGAGACCACTGGGACATCAGGAGACGTAAAGACCACTGGGACCTCAGGAGACGTAGAGACCACTGGGACCACAGGAGACAGAGACCACTGGGACTGCAAGAGGTGTAGAGACCACTGGCGCTGCAGGAGATGTAGAGACCTCAGGCGCCGCAGGAGACGTAGAGACCTCAGGAGACGTAGAGATCTCAGGAGGAATTGAGGAGTCTGCGGACCAGGGGCCCTCTGTGGATGTCAAGGCGTCAGCAGACCGGGGACCCACTGTGGACATCGAGGCATCGGTGAACCGAGGACCCTCTGTGGACGTTGAGGCATTGGCGGACCGAGGACACTCTGTGGATGTCAAGGCGTTGGCAGATCGGGGACCCTCTGTGGACGTCGAGTCTTCGGCGGACCTGGGACCCTCTGTGGACATCGAGGCCACTGAAGACGCTGGAGACACTGGAGATGTGTGCAGGCTCGGGGCTCTCTGTAGGCAAGCAAGGGTTCAGGTAAACCCTCACCTTAGAAATTCTCCCCATCTCCTCAGACTGTATTTGTGGGGACTCGGATGGCGGAAGGATCTGGATTTCCGCACTTCTGATCCTTTTCTGCCCTCGACTTCTACGCCGGTGGGAGTGTGAACAAGGATCAGAAGCGAACCCAATCTCCTCTTTGGATTCAATGTCACCCTCAGATGTCTGGTACAGGGACCAGGGTGTCTGTGTGAGGTGACTCTCCCCGAGTTGTGCCCTCCTTTCTTCTTCTTCCACTAGGAGGGGCGACAGAAGGATCTCCAGCTCAGGGCTGCAACTTTGCTGCCTCTGGACACGTTCGGTCTGGAACCCGTTCCACTTGATGATGGGCACTTCTTGAACAGAGGCATGGAGAGGCACAGATCCTCCAGGTGACTCACATGAAGGGCTGGAACTGTAAGTGGACAAAGCAGCTGACTGTAGGCGGCGGGACTCCAGCCTGCTACTCTCTCTCAGTAGTTTGTCCAAGAACTCCATCATGCCCGGAGAGTCACACAGTCCAGGGAGACGAAAATACTCATTAATTATGTCCTCTGTGACTACTCACCTTTCCTCCAGATCATTGGAGGTAGCCACAGTGTCCACATATTGTTGGATTGTCTTCTCCAACTGCTGGTAGTCCTCATCTGAAAGATTTGCCATGAACTGGCTGCCTGCTGGGTTTATGTTTGGTCCTGGCATTCTGTCGTAATGTTGGTTGGTGAAGGTAAACCCAGGGGTGCAGGCAGACAATCCAAGACTCAGGAGATGAATAAAATAATTTATTAATTATAACAAAACAACAG